GAAAATCCCCCCCCCCCCCGGGCGGATGGCCACAGCCTCAATCCCTTCTCCATTCTCCTCTCGGGATCTTGGGCACGCACACTGCACACGCCAGGCTGAGTTTAAGCCACTGGGTCCAGGACTTGAACTGCGGTTGATTACATGGTAGTCGACATAGCCATTACACTAACTGCTGGTCCCCGTTCATTCATTTTTGACCAGAGAGGGGCAGAGTGAGAGAGAAAGAAGGCAAACTGCCAGGTCTGAAACTGCAACCATGGTTAGTTATATGGGAGTCCAGTGCCCTTAACCACCACGCCACCAGCTGGCCCCATGGATTAAATTCTTTTACTTTCTACTACATTCCTTTATAATCTTTATCTCACTTCGTAATTTTGCACTCTGTTATGTGATTGTTTGATTAAGGTCTGTCCTCCTTGCCAGTGTAAGCTCTATGAGAGCAGGAATCATCTTGCTCACAACATTATGCATCTACCACTTAGCAGAGTGCATGACACTATTTGTTAAGTGAATGAATTGTTAATAATTTTTCTATGACAACTAAGTTGTTGCTCATTAGTGGGTACCTTTTTATGTGGGTTTGTTTGGAAATTTAAATAGCATTGCTTCAATAAAATGTCAGAGTATTTGAATGAATTTAGATAGAGGTTCTTGACAAATATGCTGCTGCCTAGTAAGTATGGATAAGATGACTCGTTCAAATCCTATTTTCCCACTTATATGTTGATTTCTTTTTTCACTTTTTAAGCAAGAAATAATTTATTAATTAATGAATTATAAGTTTAATTGCACTGAAATTAATAAGTGCATATATGAAGAAATAAGTGGCCCAAATGCAATCTTATGTCATTTTCTTTAACTGTAGAGACAGCATTAAGGTAACATGATTTTCTTGAAATAAAAAATTCTAGTCTTTTTCTGTTATTAAATAGTTAGAGAACATTGACAAAGCCGTTAGAGGGAAGTTGGGAGTTGACCATCTCTGTAGCCATTAAGTTTGGATATTTATAATTTCAAAGATAAACTGACTCATGCAATGAAGTTATCATCTTTTAATTGCCTTACCATGGTTAAGAATAAATTATTTATTTTCTTTGGACCAGCAGTGGGCATAATGGCTATGTCACTGAACTCCCCATGTAGCTGACTGTGGTTTGAGTCCTGGACCCGGTAGCTTAAACTCATGCTGGGCACATGTGCATGTGTGCCCAAGATCGCAAGAGGAGAATGGAGGAGAAGGGATTGCAGCATGGCTGTCCCTCCTGGGGAGGGGGTGGTGGTGTGATTTTTCACTTTCTATCTCTCTGTCTCTCTCTCTTTCTGGCAAGCACATGCACCCGATGGCAAAAACCTCTCCAAAAAAAAAAAAAAGAATAAATTACTTATTTTTTTTAAGTTTTGCTACAGTGTAGGTGCTCGCCAGAGAGACTCACAAAGATAGGGAAAGTGAGAATTCACCTCATGGGGAATGATCACACCATGATTCCTTCCCCGTCAGTCTCCTCTTGGAGTTTTGGTTACATAACACATGTACATGTGTCCAGCTTGTTTCTCAAACTTCCGGGTCTGGGACTCAAACCCTGAAGTCAGCTGTATAGAATCCATTCGCCTTAACCATCATGCCGCCTCGCTGGCACTCAGTGAAGCATAGATTTTGCAAAGTACATGTACATAAAGCTTCTACTGAAAAGTCTAATAAATAGAACATTGGTATTAATTCATATAAGACTTTTTTGTAGGGGGGCATAGTGCAAGAGAAAGTTAAGAAATCACCCCCCGGGGGTATTTGGGCACGTATACACACGCACAGACACAGATGCCTGACTTGTCTTTCAAGCTGCCAAACTCCGAACTCCATACTGCTCAATTAGCCCATGTGAGATCCAGCTGCCCAACCATTATGCCACAGATTGCCCCAATATAAGACAGTTGTTTATGTCTTCTGAGAGACAGAGGCAGATAGGCACTTCCAACAGGGTCTTTTCTTTTTCTTTTTTTTTTTTACTCATTTAATCACATATACCTTTACAGTGTACTACAATTCTTTTTTCAGCACTATTACCATGTGTTGTCAAGACAAAGACAGTACTATGCACATCATCATCATCAAATAGCTTTTCATCATTTTTTTCAGAATATTATTATTATTTATTCTCATTACTTTTATAAACATTCAATAACTACATACCATTTGGCTTGTAAAGAGAATTTACCCAATGTAAAATACTTCTCAGACCTGTCTAGTTGAGAATACTATACATGTTATCAACAGTGAATAAACCATTTCTGTGTCCCACTAATGTCATGCCTCTCTATTTGTTCTCTTGCTGTCCTTCTCTATATGCTTCCCTTCGTCCCCCACCCGGTTCCACACTGTCTTCAGCATTCATAACTATTTTCACTGATCTTATGCCCTCCAATATTTCTGTCTCTACCATAAAGTATAGATAGTCGATATATATTAAGTGGATGCATACAGTATCTTTCTTCTATATTCTGGCAAGAATATGAACTGCTTCACGAATTTGCATGTCATCCTTACACAGGGGCCATGCTAATCTCTGTATTGTTCCAATTTTAGTGTATGTGCTGCTGAAGCGAGCACCCAACAGGGTCTTCACACCACTATCCATCCCCAGCCTCAGCCAGCTCAGATCAAGGGTGCTCACAAGCCCCAAATGTACAGGGATGCTTCAGAATGTGAAACCGAGCCTTTCTATGTGGATCCAGCATTCCATCCTTGAAACATGACATCACTGTGTACCACCATCTGGCCCCTGTATAATACACATTTTTAAAATAAAATGCCTGATAATTTAGAAGCAGTAACATTTACACTTTTACTTAATTCTTTATTTTTGTATGTTTCTTTTCTATTCTGTTCAAGGATTTTTGGTTTCACTGTTCAAGTCAACACTTAATTCCTTGAACTAATTACTCAGGGTAACCAAAGAACTGCTAATGAAAAAGACATATATTGTCTTACACTATTACATTATTTATTTATTGCTTTCAATAGTTGTATTTACAGTGACCTCGAAGTTTTGTTTTCATGACCACGCTTTTATAGAAAAAAGAAAAACACTGTAACAACCACCTCATTTTATAAAAGGATTGCTGGGAAAGTCTTAATGGTTGTCTCCAAGGAGTTAAGTGACCCTGCAGGGTGGTGGAAGGAGCTTGAGCTGTGGAATCAGAAAGACCTGTCTCCAGAGCCTTGAATTGGTCGCCTCTCAGAGGGGTACACATTCTCCATTTACGAAATGAAAACGGGTAGTAGTGTTTGAGATCAGTGCCAGAGAAGGGGCTGCTTGTCTAAATGACATGTCGAACAGGGAGGTAGGCAGTGTAGAAAGCCCACATTCAACCTTGGCACTGAGCCACTTGAGGTCTCACTGCCTATGTGTCTCCACATTTTGAGAGCCCTCCTTTGGGATTTTCATTTTACATACGTGCTCTGTGCCCCTTTTGTCCCAAAGCATCTTCTAGAGTGGATACAAGTTCCACCTTGCAAAATCTGTGGGGCAGGGGAATTAGAAGGAAAATCTCAAGAGTTGAAAGTGGTCTGAGAGCTCAGGTCCAGCCTTATACTTGGCTCAAACTCCCTCTCCAGGTTGTGGTTTATCTCTGTACTTTGTTGCTGATTATAAGGAACTCAAATCATGCTGGGGTTTTTTGCCTTTTTTTTTTTTTTAACTTGTATGAAAATTACCTTTAACCTACATGGGCATGTTCATGCTCCTGTCACACATAAAGGATATGTCTTTGGCTCACTGGCGATGTGCTTACCTTCACCCTATCGTGGTAGGAGGCTGGTTATTCTCTCCCATTCTGTTATTCCCCAGTATCCCTTATCACCTACCAGTACCACCCCAGGTAGCTGATGTGCTCCCCATCCTCACTTCAGGTACCCTAAGTGCTAGAAAGTTTTGAGTAGAAGCTCCATGCTGGCTCCAGGACTTGAATCATGGTCGACTACATGGGAGTCTAGCAACATAGCCATTATGCCATCTTCTGGTCCCAAGAGGTGATTATTAAGGACCGAAAGAGGATAGTCCAGCTCAGTCTGTTAACTGTCCTTGCTGATTTATTTCTGGACTCCAGGTACCCTGTAATGATGAAAGTCAACCTTAAGGGCAAAGCATGATTTTTAGGGACAATAGAAAGTACTTCCTCTGTAGTAAGAGGACTGAAGTCTTTATAATAGGAGATGAGGGACCAGCAGATGACGTAATGGCTACGTCGCTGGACTCCCACATAGTCGACCATAGTTCTAGTCCCAGACCCAGTGGCGTTGGGTGTGTGTGCGTGTGTGCCCAAGATCCCGAGAGGAGAGTAGAGGAGAAGGGATTACAGTGTGGCCATCCCCCCTCTGGGGTGATTTCTTGCTTTCTTTCTGTCTTTGTCTTCCTGGCAAGCACATGTGCCCTATAACAAAAACCTCTCCAAAATAAAAATAAAAAAGAAAGTGAAACCTTTTATTTGGTTATTGGCAATAACCCCAAAAGTTTTAATCCATGGAAAGGTTAACACATATATAAGAATTTCATTAAGATTCCAAATGTAAATAAAGATAGCATTTTTTTTTTTCTTGTTTGGGTTAGCGGGAGGTATGAGAAAATACTGTGGCCTGGAAAATGGGGTGAATCCTACTGAAATAGTGAGTAGGAGAAATGAGAGGATGGTGGGGCCAGGCTTGGACTTGATAATTTTCAAGGAACCACCTTACTTACCTATATTATTCATGTGCCAGTAAAAGTTATGCAGGGGTTTAGAGGAGTTTCCTACAGGGCTGCCCACATGTGCCCCTTAAAATTCCAGTAACTGCCTGTTGTGTGTGGCAGGCAGGTCCCCGCTGAGAAAGGTAACTCTTGAGACATTACACAGTGCCAGTAGGCTTCGCATTTACCGCAGTAGTAGTTACTGTACAGTATATCTGACCGTGTATTTGAAGAACATTTCAGAAATGTTTGTACCACCCTCATTCTCATTTTGTCCCCCTACCCATCGCTTCTGCAATAATGTATCTTTTTACTAGGTTGATTAGGCACATGACCTTGGGATTATTGCATAGTCATTTTAAACGCTTTGCTGAGGCTAAAAGCCAATGTCAGCCCTCTGCTGGAAAGGCTGGTAATTAGTATGTCCTGGTAGACATAATAAATACTCCCTGGGTTGTTTAAAAATAAAATTTAGGGGCCAACAGGTGGCGTGGTGGTTGGGGGCTCTGGATTCCCACATGGCCAACCATGGTTTAAGTCCTGGACCCAGCGGCTTGCTTTCTCACTTTCCCTCTCTCTCTCTCTCTCTCTCTGTCTCTATCCAGTCAAATTGAAATAATGATAATAAATAAAGTTAAATGAAAAAATTACGTAAAAAAAACTAATACTTTAAAAAATAAAATAAAATTTAAATTTATAATGAATGTTTCTTTTCTGAAGAAGTGAAAGGTGGTCAGTTTTTAACAAATACAATTTTTAAATGAAGAAAAAATAGCAGCGCATCAAAAAGGCATGTAGAGGGGCCAGCAGGTAGTGTGGTTAAGGTGCTGGACTCCCACATGGCCAACCACAGTTCGAGTTATGGACCTGGCAGCTTGAAAATCATGCTGGTATGTGTGCAAATATGTCCAAGATTCCAGGAGGAGAAGGAATTGCCCTGTGGCCATAGAGTGATTTCTCAGTTTCTTTTTCTCCAACAAGCCCTATGACAAAAAGTAAGGGAGTGGGGGGCATGTAGAGGACCGTGGATAGAAGCTCTAGTCATAAGAGCTCCAAACTAATAGAAGCAACATAAATGCCCACCAGCTGTAAATAAGCATATAGATTATGGCATAGTCATACATTGGATTAGTATACAATGGTGAAAATGGATTATCTGCTCACGATTATCACAAAACTAATGTTGAGTGAGAGAAGCCAGATTCACACACACAAAACATCTTATATATGGCTCAAAAACAAGTGCAGCCAGCCTATCTTTGGTAATAAAAGTCAGGAGAGAAAAGTTAATGACTGTGAGGGAGGGGACCGGGTGGCTAGGGGTGCTGGTAATGCCGTTTTCTGATCTGAATGGCGTGTGCAATTAGTGGAAATTCATCAGATTGTTTATTTGTACACTTTTGTATTTGCATGTTGTAGTTCAGTAAAATTTTTTTGATTAATAAAGATGGTAAAATTATCCTTATTATTTTAATCAGTACGATAACCGATCATGCAGGTATAATTTTAAAGAAAAAGTGTATTTAAGTTTCAAAATAACTGTCTTGGTAAAATCCAGGTGGAGGTGGTTTAGAAATTCCTGTCAGCAATACTGAAACATAAGTCACATATTTGGAAGTTAGTGATTGTGTAAATCTGTTATTAAATTATCTAGCTTAATGATATAAACAATTCGTTCCCTTGGATAGTTAACTAGTCTATCAGTTTTTTGTTTTGTTTTCAGGTTTTTGCCATAGGTTGTGTGTGCTGGCCATAGAGAGACAGTGAGAGGAAAAATGAGAAATCACCCCCCAAGGCAGATGGCCGTGGGGCCGTTCATTCTCCTGAGATCTTGGGCACATGTACACACGCACCTGGCACAATTTTCAAGCCACCAGAGGTCCAGGACTCGAGTCACAGTCAACCTTGTGGGAGTCAAAAGTTGGGGCTCCCAACTTTTACATTTTTTTATTTCCTCCTTTTTTTCTGGGGAATGAATATAAAGGATGCTGGATCTAGAAGGACTATTGTGATTTTAGAGCCAAGGAGTCATTAGTTGGAATCCTAGCTCCATCACTTAATAGCTGGGTGCCTGGAAATGATTTATTAACTTCTGAGTCTCAGTTTTTTCAGTCTGCATTGGTAGAGTTAATACTATATAGTCAAAAGTGTGCAGAGGATTAAATTTTGCCTACTTTGATATAAAGCACATTATAGGTATTCAGGATAATATCCAGTTTTCCTTCCATCCATCTACCCCTAGCACACACAACAGGTTGAGCATCCCTAATCCAAAAATCTGAAATCCAAGATGCTCCACAACTCCAAATTTTTGGAGTGTCATTGTAATGCCACAAGTGGGAAATGGTGCACCTGACCTCATGTGATAGGTTGTAGTCAAACGCTGCCATTTGAGAATTTTACTGTATAAAAGTAAATTGGAGCTATGTGTGTAAAGTGTATCTCAATCATAATGAATTTCGTGTTTACACTTGGATCCCATTTCCAAGATATCTTAATATGTTTCTGCAGAGATCCTAAAATGCCCGCCAAAATCCAGAACAGTTCTGGAGCCAAGCATTTAGGGATAAGAGATATTCACTGTGTAATATTGGATTGCTGGAAAAGTCATGGCATATTTTTCTATTCAAAAATGCGTCATGACTTTTCCTATGACCTAATAGAAATGAGAATCGACATCGCTCCTACACCAGGATCCTTGGTAAGGTTGGAGAAAAATCATCCATAGTGTGCGTGATTTCCCTTTTTTTTTTTTTTTAAGAGATTTTTGCTTTAGAACACATGTACTTGCCAGAAAGCCAGAGACAGACAGGAGGTGAGAAATCATCCCCCCACAGGGAGATAAGGATGTCCATGCTGCAATTCCTTCTCCTCCAGTCTCCTC